CTTCCAACTCGAGAACCAGAAAAGCCAGAAGGCTGAAATTTCGGGGGTATGTGCCCATACCATGCGTGACCCTCACGTTTAATATCATCCCCCGCGGACGCGCAGGCGCCGGGTACGGACACTTTAAAAAAATATTTAAATGTTTTGGCAGCAAAGCAATCTCAAGAACCAGACAAGGTAAGGGGTTGAAGCTTTTTGGGGGTGCTCCCTGTGCATGGGTTAGCTGAAGATTTCAAATTCAGCCTCAAGTATGCGTAGTACTCACGTAAGGGCGTATGAAAGTTTCTGCGGGAAAATTACTAACTCGGCAACCAGAAAAGCTAGAAAACTGAAATTTTAGGGGAATGTTCCCTGTCCAAGCAAAACTTAAGTGTTTAAAATTTAGCCTTGAGATATGCATGGCTCTTAATTACGAGCACTTAAAAGTTTTGGCGGGAAAAATTCTCACTGACCAGCTAGGTTACTTTTAAAGAATGACCGTTAAATGAAAATTGTACATTTACTTTATGCAAAATTTATGGTGATTTATTTTAGTGATCGCAAAAGGTAGGTGTAAAGCAACAAGCGTTCGTGCAGTTAATGACCTGAGTACTTCAAGTCTGATGCAAAAACGCATGATCGCACGGGCCCGTCCAGTGCGTTCCAGCCTGGGTTTCACTGCAAAATGATTTGCCTTTGTAACAAAATATTTCCAGTCTAGTTTCATAAGTACGACAGCCCAAGCCTATATTGGCAATTCTAAACCAGTTTCCGTATCCAAAAACTTCCCGCAGGCTTGATTTCGCGCCTGACATCTCCCAGAGATACGCGCAAAGCAGAATTTCATTGAGGCAGCCGCAGTATACAACATTAGACATTAGCAGTGGGTGCCTCACAAGCCTGCAGCAGAGTGTATAAAGACTAGTCTGCAAAACTGGAAACGGCAGATACCCCTCAATGTTGCTGCATGCAGATACTAGGAGTGTGTAAAATCTTGAGCATCCAACCGTTATCCGACTCGAGTTATTTTAGGATGCATTACTGACAGTAGGCGAAAACTGCGAAATTTGTGGTGACCTGCGAAGCGATAAGAAACATGAGGCGAGCAGAAAAGGATTTTTAAGGTTTTTTATAACTAAAGGCTGTTTTTCCGTCAGCGATCCAAATCCTTCTGTTTTGCCAGACTCCCATGATATTCGCGCTAATAAGCCTAACTATAACATAGACAAAGTGTACTCCATGCGTAATTTGGAATTTATTATGAGAAAGCGCTTTCTCAAAACTTCACTGCTGACAAATGAGGAAGAGATTCAAAACGTCCTCGCAGTACTCGTCCAGCATGCCCCCGAAAATATGACCGCCGAAAAGTATGCTGCTACTGTTAAAAGCAGTACCAATAGACTGGCAGAACGAAGTGCTTGTGAAAGCATTTAATAATGAAGCATGGAAGCGTTCGGAGCGAGGTAGGACGAGCTGCTCGAAAAATACAAACTCAAGGGAGTGCAAACTTTGAAGAAATAGTTAAAATGGCGACCTTTTGAAAACCATAAGCAGAATTTCGAGCGGAAGGTCATCGATCGACAGCCGGCGCCTTGACCTTCTCATCGGTGGCCGGATGACCATTAGTTGTCGTGATGCGAACTCCAGGATTGTTCAGAGACAGAAATATCACTGACACTGAAATGCCTCCTTTATCAGTCAACCAAAGGTCACGACAGCTGCTTGAAATTAGCACGCCAAACCGCGATAATCATAAATAACAACAGTGTCTCAGAAAAACAGCGAGTGCTGTAAACTTGCATTCAGAATATGCATGCATAGATGTAGCGTTTCACGTCATCCACCGGCAGGATTCCTTCCAAACAGGCCTGCCAGCAATCTGTGGTGAACTGAACGCTGGTCGTAAATGGGCTAGGCGTGAAAGCGGACAGGCCTATTGTTTAATAAAGCACGAAATACGAAAAAAAAAAATGAATGAAATGTGCATTCGAAGATGTTTAAAGGCAAAAGAATAACAAATGCTGATGGGATGAATTTGAAGCAGGCAGTGGCCCCGAGCACCAGAGATTGCGGAGAGATCACCTCGCAGCACATGAAAAATGTGTGAGCAGCAGACGTTCAACCACAATTATTAATGAAAATAGGAAGCCCAAAGAAATTATAAAAAATTCAAAGAGGAATTTCAAGCGAGCAGCGAGCACGCCCACGGAAACAGAACCAGCGAAAACACGGAAATTTTGCAGAAATGCAATCGTCAGGAATGCAAAAAATTTTCGAACATTACATTTCGCTAAGCTTACTCCGTCTGCGACCAACCAGCTTCATCAAACGGACGACACAAACACGCAACGCCTAGCGAACTTGTGATTCGAAATTGCGCACTGTGAGCTCCACAGCCTTGGCACTAGCCGCAGGACGGTTCCACGAGTTCGAACAAAAGCGTATGAGGCCATGTTACAGATCCGATCAAGCAATCCGAAGACACCGTCTCTCGTCCGAAATTTTCAAGCTCTAGCGACAGTTCGAAACAAATTAAAAGAGAGGAATTTAAGTGCTGGAAGATCACCTCCACCACTTTTTTTTGGCTCTACAAACAATTCTAAGAACGCCGACATGATGCGAGCTGCATTTCGCGAAGCAAGAACCAGCACATGCCGTGCAACTTTCTAGTACTGAGTGAAAAGGGAACGACATCCTAAACTATCATGCTGTCCGATTTCTTTAATAGAGCATACATAAAGCATGCACAATTTTAAAAACTTCGAAATACAGTTCAAACAGTTTTTGTTTTATCGGTTCCCACTGATCAAACTGTAATCTACGGCGATTCCTCTCTCGGCCCTTCAAATGCGGGCGGGATGCGAAGAAGCAGATGTATTTGGTACAAACACGCCGCTGCTCCAACAAAATCAGCGCTATGGAGACAGAGCCGAAAGTTATTCAGGAACTGATGCTTCAGGTTTCACTTCAAGGGATACCAAAAACCTAACTTGGGGTAACCTAAGAGCCGGCATACGCACCAGGAAGCCAGCGCAATCATTCATTCTTCGAAGAAGCCTTCTAGGCACACATGCCAACCCAGCAGATGTAAAAAGTACCAAAATTTGGATGCTCCATCCTATGACTGCAACATCTCACAGCGTATTTATTACAAAAGCAAGTAGCCGATCACTCACTTCGCACTGGCACTCAGATCAAAACTATTTCGAGTTTGTGAACTATTCCCAGACGAAAGCATTCTAAATTTTGGTCTAAGGTTATAAAAGCTGGGTTGAGATCACCCAACAAACAACCTCCGGTGAATTTAACTGCATGGGTCCTTCCCACTCCCGAATGTAAGCTTAGTTTGTCCAAAACAGTCAGAGCAAAGGCAGATCTAGAAATTGATTTTAGGTTTACAGTTATAAACACAGTAGGAGAGCAATGTCCCCGAGCTCTCGCAGCCCTGGAGTCAGAATAATCGCACACAGTCAGAAACTATGATGGCTTTTTCTTATTCACAAGGAAGCATGTAAAAAAGTTGTATAATCAGAGCCAACTATGCGGGACGACCGGTCATTACTAATGAACCGGCGTGTCGCCACACTCACTTGGGGAAGAGTGGCATGCACGTTTTTATTTATATGAATGTATAAAAAAGGTACTGAGTGGCGGGAAGAGAATGGAGGGTGGGCAAACGGTACCTGCCCTGGAGCAAAAAAGTGATTTATGAGTCTAGGGCACGGAAAACGCCAACGCCAACAACCGATTAATACAAACGGTAGATGGATTGGTGTCGTTAACAGCAATTTTCACCGTCACCGCCAGACAAATGGTTTTAGACGATAGATTAAATATTTGCAAAGATTGTCTGCAAATGATAAGGAAGGAATAAAAAATTATAAGTCGTACATATATTTCGTATGTGTCCAGGAGTGCCGACTACGATGGCAACGGTGACGACGACGATGAGGTGATTGGCAGCGACGACGGCGACGAAGACTAAGGTGGCGGGGACGGAAACGGCAACGGCGACGGACAGACCAACCAGATCCAATAAGAATGATGAGTTATCCGGACAAAAAAATTTTACGATCTGTTGCCGCCAGTGCTGCTGCTGTTGCTACTGGCTTTTTCCGGCTTGCAAAAGCGACAGCAAGCTGCCTGTCGCTGCTGCTCTTCCACTCACTCCTCAAACACACGTTTCACATTATTCACACAAAAATAACACAAACTGATGCAGTTTCTGCATTGTAGGTGCATCCGTCGCAGCAACTGCAACAGCAGAAAAAAACCGCTCCGTGGAGCAGCATACTGAAACCACTCATATGACGAGTTTTTTGAACATCGGGAAGGGCACTGGAAAATTCCGGCAGGAGATAAAGTTCTGATCAGTTTTTACGCTCTGGTACTTTCCATTTGAGTTTTGGACACCAAGAAAGCTCGGATGGTCAGTGAGGTCACGTGCTACCACAATCACGCGCAGCTATGCAACGTTTTACGGTCAAAGACTACTAATTTCTGTCTTCATAGCCTGCACGCCCATTTCTTCGAATACCATCCGCCCGATCGTATTTCTCCTGGAGTGGGCCGTTATTGTCACACGAAACTCTCAGATTATCAGCAAGGCGAACGTCACTGTCAGAGGACTTCATTTTCTGGATACGGCACTAAACAAATAGCAACGCACACCAGACTAGCCGATGCGACCATGCGTTTTCTGCAATTCGCCCATCGAACGGCTGCAAATTAATGATTTTCAATGCTCTGTACTTTAATCCAAGCAAAAATAGTTGAAACATTGAAAAATAGTTAGAAATTTCACGCATCTGCGCATGAAAACTAAATTCGAAACCTTGAAGCGTGAATATCTTCCCGTGGTTCCCGAGATAATAATTTACCCGCAAAAACTTTCGCTAGCCCGTAGGTGATACCCGAGAGCGCGGAAACGCTGAATCTGAACAGGCAAGGTTGAGCGTGGGCACGGGGTCACTGCCGTAGAATTTCAACTTTGTAGATTTTATGGTTCTCGAGATAATAATTTATCCGTCAAAAATTTTCACCGAGCCGTGCTTGTTATCCACAGGCAGGGAAAAGCTGAATTTAAATTTTCTGGTAGTATATGGGAGGGGGACATGCTCACAAAATTTCAGCCTTTTATCTTCCGTGGTTCCCGAGATACTGATTTTACCCGAGAACTTTTACAGGGCCGTACGTGTTACCCGCGGGTATGGGAAGGCTGAATTTAAATTTGCCGCATCACCCGCTGGCGAGGGAACACTATACTAAAATTTCAGCCGCCTAGCTTTTACGATTCCCGAGTTGAAAGTACGGGACAAAATGTGGGACACACACACACAAACACAGAGACAACCCGTGACAATATGCGTTTTGTACGGCTGTTACACAGCACAAAACGCATAAAAACGTTGTTCTGGACGCCACTAACAGATGCTGGCCATGTGATCACGACGAAACGATAGCTCAAGCACCTGAAGCTCGATCGCCTTTTTTTCGCCGCCACTGGAAGAAATACACTTTCACTATAAATGCCCACGAAAAATGTTAACTTCATGAAGATTTTGAAAAATCCTGCTAATTTTTAGACAAGAGTCCCAATCCCGTTTTTTCATCGCATTGAGTTACAATCCAACCATATCTCTGCATACATGGATACTTTCCGAGCGTACCCTCAAATAAATAAGAGACAAATAAGCATACAAGTTTACATTTTTTACAGCACAATTTCTTGCTCGTTTCTGTGCAAAATAAAAGCGCGTGCACGGACGAGTGCAAACATGCTAAATCCATTGAGGATGCCGGAGACAACAAACTATGACGCATCAGCATGACAAATCGCGATAAAGCAAACTCGTCCGAATCACGAATTTGATAAAAAAAGACGGCAGCAACAGAATTACTACAGCCCCACCACACTCAGGCACTACTTCAGTTTTCGCTTCACATATATGCGCATTTTCAGATCCGACCCAATTTTTAGGTACATGTGCACATGCAAAAACGCGTACTGTGAAAAAGTTATCTTCGTGTATGTGTTCGGAGGCGACTGAAATATGTTGCCAACTTCCAACTCGGCTGGAAGCTGAAAATTTAGGGACATATCCCCACCACATGTCCTACCACCTCTCCCACTCCCCGCCCCGTTTTTAAAATCAACGTTCAAGACGGCTAGGTTTCGAGTACGAGCATCTGGAGGGAAAAATGTAAGTTTTTTTTTTCCAAACGTTCGTATGCGGTATAGGTGGAAACGACTTTGGGAGCTGGACAACGCAAGAAGATTCTGCAAGCATTTTCCCCATCCATGCCAACCTAAATATTTCAGATCCAGTTGTCACGCATCTCTGTATAATGCGCAGAAACCACATAAGGTCCCCAGTTGGCTTCGTGCCAACTCGATAGCTAACAGGGGAACAATAATTGTAATTTGGTCAGAATATTTATCGCCCACTGGGGACTCATATATTTAAATGGAGTTTTGAATTACACTTGCGCAATAATTAGAGCACGTCAAAGATATCTGTAGCCGAAGTGGCGATTTTGGGAACAAAATACGCTGAGAAGCTGATATTTTAAGAGGGTATTCTACCCACACTGTGATTTAGATTCAGCTTGGAAACTAAGTTTCCTGCATACGGACCTTATAAACGCTCAGTTCTACCTTAACCTCAAAAATAAGTGCATTTTGCAGTCATCCTCCTTTCTTGACACCTTGCTCATTCTTCAACTTACATTTCCAGTGAAAAACTGGTGATAGCAAGCTTTCTAATCGAGCTGCTAGCAGCGAAAAAGCCTTCGAGCTTAAGAAAAATGTCTGACATCAAGCGCAAGACGCTGTGTATCCCAGTGAATGGGACCTACAGAAAGTATTTTGTGTACTTGTTTGGTGCCTAATAAAAAGAATTAGAGCGGTAAGGTCCTCACACTCGACGCTGCTCATTACATTCTCGTGGAATGGTAGGCCACATGGCCTGGATGATCTGGGAAACAAGCAACAGGAACACAGGTCCCTTCATCTGTAGCATCAGAGAGTGAGCATATAAATCAGCAGCACTTCTGCTTTCAAGTTTCACTGCTACTGTTGCTAAGAAGACAAAAAGACCAATGTTCCTGGCGTCGTGCGAGGTAGTCCCATGTAACTAGCCCCCTCCCCCCTCCTATACATCAAAAGGTGCAAAAATGCTCTCACAAGACCGACTGACCGCCATGTCCGAAAACTGGCCCGCGCCAACTTCCGGTCAGACAGTAGTCACATAACCAGATGTGCGCAAAAATCCGGCTGCAAACCACCACAGGTCATGCAGCCAGAGTAGCTAATGGCTTTATGCTTATAAGGCGCACCAAAATGAACAGATCACTAGTTAGGTAGTACGGTAAATGGCCCCAACAAAACGAAGGCTGGGAAGTTCAGTACCACGGAATTTTTTTTATAAAAAGCTCAGGAAATGAAAAAAAAAAAAATGTGCCCGTCATTAAAAATATCTGGCAAAGCAAATTGGAAAATGACTTCAACATTGATTTTACGGATACGTCCAGCCACCTGCAAAATGCAATAAAATGACGTGCTCCGAAAGCGAGACTGAGTAACTTTGGTTTAGCAAGAACATCATAAAAGTGGGTGTCGCTCGGGAAAAAAGAGTTAAATTAGTTAGGATTTGTCAGTGAGCTGTTTGTCTAATCGTCCCTCGTCCTCCTGCTCGCTCCTCCGACCACATTGTGGAAAGGGCGAGTAGAACGGGAGCGTTGCTCGCAGCGCAGTCTGCTTTCCGGTATTTTTGGATTCTTTTACTGTATATAACAAGCACATGGCCAGCAACCTGCATCGAAATATGCTCAAGTGCACACGTTGACATCAACTGCGCTCATTCATCCAAGTCGCAAGGGAAAAATGACGTAAAACGGAAACTACGACCCTTTCATCGAACACAAACTAAATACAGAGTCTTTCAGGCACAAGCATTTGTGAAGAAAGCCCAGCAGTAACTTCCTTTTGATTTGCGCGAAAATCTAGTAAGAACGGCTAAAAGAACGCAAATCCAGGAATTCTAGTTGGTACTTTGATCTCCTATGAGATCCTCACAGGAGTAACAGAAAAAGCAAGTAAATAGTAACAATAATTAAAAAAAAAAAACTTAAGGAGGAACGAACAATAACGCGTGACTGGAGGCCAGTTTGGTGTTTTTCCAATAAACTATTCTGCACACCTCAGAACGCACTACATCTGTGCAATTACTTACGTAGTGCAGAAGCGCGTATTTAATGCATTTGAAAAATCGTATTTGTGGTATCTGTTTTAAAACACAGCAGGGGCCAAACACCACCTCACGTTTTTTGCCCAACGAAAGGGAGAAATGGGGCTTTTTGAAAGCCTAGTTTTCGTAGTTCTGGAGTTGGAACAGTTGAAAAGAGAGATAGAGGGTTTAGCAGTGATGAAATTATTCGTGAAATGTGCAAATTAATGAATTGTTTTCTTTAGTGACTACAAAAAACGGCCGCCAGAAATCGTCTGTGTGAAAAGAAACGCGAAAAACGGCGCACGAAAGCGCAAAAAAGTGTAATGTGTGGAGAGGACTAGTGGTATCGAAAATTAGAGCACTTCCCCTCTACGAATCAAGCTGATCAGGTTAACCGGATTACTGTCTCACAAGTAACAATACAGACTGCAACGAACAAGGATTGCTGATGCGACCATGCGTCTTTGTGGCAAACTTGCAGATTGCTAATACCAAAAACGGTTCCTGCCCTATGGTTTAAGACTTGGACTCATGCTGGTTGGGTTTTGGCCTCTGCCCGCTGGCAAAGGGGAGGGCATCGGCTGGGATGAAGGCTTTGCATTACCAAGCCGCTTGGCCAGCATGTATGATTACCAGTTTTCTACATGAAGCCCGGTCGTTTTTCCGGTGAATGATCGTTCACTGAAAAAATACAAATTTGAAGGAAGTCGGAAGAAGATTATGAAATCTGCAAAATGCAACAGCTTTCAAGCTT